CCTTTAATCGTCGGAAGCTGATAATTTTTGGTAAAGTTAGAGTAACTTGTCAATTATTTATACAATTAAAGAAATCATACGTATGACGTATTTGCGCTACTTAAAAAAAATATTATATATATTCAAAATTTTCGTGTGTATGTCCGCAAGTCCGCGTTTGTTCCGGATAATCACCGAAAGGATTGGATCGTTTTAGACGGGACACTTACTGGAAGGTAGCTTATATGCGCGGGAGTAACTTAAGCTGTTTTTAAACGCGCTGACGAATTCACAGGCGACAGATAAATATAAACAAATAACTAAAGACTAAACTATAGCCAACTGAAATTCTTATTGGTCCCATTTTTTTTTTATATCAGAAGGCGGCAAACGAACGAGCGGCCACCTGAAATCGCTGAAATAGCGAAGTGACCGTTGCCCATAGACACACGCAATCGCATATGCGTTGCCTACCTTTAATCGATGGAGGAGAGGATGCACAGAAAGAAAATATTTCCCCTTTCCATGCATCCTCTCATCCGGAAAGTCCACTTCCATTTCCCATCCTTTCCTTATAAGAAAAGGGTGGGAAGGAGGACTAAATTAGGCCTCCGGGACGCACACTAATCAGACGAAACGCGGAATTTCTTCCTCTTCACGCCTGTTTTCTGTGTGTCGGTGGTATGGCGAACCTGGCCAATTCGTGCGCAGATGTTAAAGCGGGTTCTACCACTCTTAACCCATGATGCTAAGAGGCATAGTCATAACAGCCTATTTGAAATAACTGTAAAATAACTATAACTATAATTTCTTCAATAAAAACAAAGTTTAAACTAAAATTAAAAACTGGTTTTAAAAATTATGTCTATGTAGATTACAGTTCATTAATTTACTCAAAAGTAATTTATGCATCAAAAAAACTATTTTAGCGCCCAATCTAATGCGTCTTCAACATCGATATTATTTTTTTTTATTGTTAAAAAAGGAAAATTTTCAACATAATATTCATATATTCATTCAACTATAGAATAAAATTAATTAATTATAACTTTTAGCGACAATTGTGAGAGCAAAATACTAAATGTATTTCAATGATAATTAACCAGTTTAATTAATTTACAATTATGCATTCTCCATTTAAATAAATATAAAACTATAAACCTATCAACTTTAATTCTAGCGCCAATAAATATGCAATTTCTGTGCAAAAGATATACAACGTCTAAAAGACTATTCAAATTGACATGCAATCAACATTACTATTAACAACACTGCCAAATTATAATTAAAAAGTAGCGAAATTTCTTTTCATATCTGGACAATTTTATTTGAGTTATATTCGCTAACATAATGTAGAAAATAAATTTTATATCGCCATAAAATCATATTTCTCTTCTGATTTATATACCTACTAGCTCTTACCCGCGACTTCGTCCGTGCAGAATTAAAAAACAACTTAATTAGTAGCCTACGTGTTCTCCCAAGCTATGTTCTACATCCATGCCAAATTTCAGCGAAATCCGTGCAGCCGTTTCGGAGATACCTTCAAACATCCATCCATCTTTCCATCCATACATGTAAACATTCGCATTATAATATTAGTAAGAAGTAAAATTTATACGTACCCTAGTACAAAATATGCAACTAAACAAAGCGCTTTTAAAGAACTATCCAAAAGAAATGTAAGCAAAACGTTATAATACCTATTTTCAGTAAAATCATATTTGACAAGCTGACATTTAATAAAAAAAAAAGAACACTGGCCCAAAGCAGGATAAAGCGCAGGTACATATCTATGGCTTCTAATTTTTTATCGCCGCATAAAAAATGAAATCGTTTTTTTTTTTGTTAATAAAAAAATCAACAAGTCTATGTTACGATGACTACTGTCTTATCTCTGTTTTTCAAATAGAATGAAAAGAGTAAAAATATTTTTATACATGTATTTCGGCAGTGTAAACTCACGGCTATTCAGCATCCAGCTCGTGGTCAGTCGTTTGTTGAGGACAGTCGAGTGGGGCGTGCGTCACACCGTTATGTCGGCCACATTGGTCGCTGTACTGAGAAGGCGGCGACGTTGTATCAAATCAACGGTTACCGTCGTTACAATTAAAAATATTTTAATTTTGTATTAAAGACTGCGAATGAGTACAACAAATAGTATAAGTTGGCTCCGATGGAAACGTATTTTCAATGATTATAAACTGGCTAGCTGACAGTCGCGACTTCGTCCGCGCGAAAAAAAAAATAGTAGCCTATGCCACAAACAGTAATGAGATTGAATGTGGATGGCTACAAAGATAGAGGAAGACCAAAAAAGTATGGAATGACTCGGTGAAAGGCGATATGCGTAGGAAGGGGGTAGATTCAGATATGACGGCTGATAGAGGTGTATGGAGGAGTAGTACACACCTGTGCCAACCCTCCGTAGGGATAAGGGCAGGTTGATGATGATGACCTACCACAAAGCAAGAAACAGAAATTTTCTAGACACAAACATACATTTGGTTTTATTCGCAATAATGTTAATTATAAACTCTCGCAAAAAAGTTGGATTAAGGACCCGATATAAGAGACAATTTTTGCAAACCGTTCGCATTGTGAGGGAGTTCTTGTGTCTACAGCCCTGACCGCTGTTTACTTGAATCATGGGATTCTGCAGCCGGTGGGATAGGTACTGTACTGGTTTTTGATTTGGTTTCTTTTATAATAAGTTTTATCATTATTTTTTAACCTTTTGCATTTGGCCAGCGTGGTTGACTATGGCCTAGTCGCCCTTGATTTAGGGTAGGCTCCGAGCCCCTCGGTGGGGACGTAAAGTGAGCTGATGATAAATTATTTTTTAAATTATATTATATATAAAATATGTAAATAACGAATATGAGAATATAATAATAGCAATTTTATCTGTATCCTCGTCTCTTTACATGGACCAATAAAATAGCTCTGAAAATGCAATTTAATCAAGAAACCGACATAATTTATTTTTCAATTATATAGACTTCGCTATAAAATAATTTGCAAATGTCCGCTGAATCCATTTTGTCACTTAAAGTATTTTAATTATAACATACTAAATAAACCTGGACGTTAAACGTATACATTTATAATTTTATAACACAATAAATAACAGTTAAAAACATTCAATTAAATATATTCAAAATATTATCGGACATGTTAAATTAGTTAACCGTTTTGTTTTTAATAATTAATGTAACAATTTAGGTACACTTTTAAAAAATACAATAAGGTAATAAAATTCACATAAAATTGGAATACAGTTTTGTTAAGTATCATATCAAAAACTAAGATAAGCGTAAAAATTACCATAGAAATAATCTATTAATGCTTTTTCTTTTAGCATGGAATAAATTTTTGTGCTTAATTACCACTAACTGTCGCCAGCAATTCCATATGTGCAGAATTAAAAAAAGTAGCCTACGTGTTCTTCCAGATTATGTTCTACATCTACGACAATATTCAGCGAGATCCATTGAGCCTTTCCGGAGATATCTTCAAACAAACATCCATCTAAACATTCGGTTTTATATAGTTACCTATTGAGAAATTTTATTTTTTTGCGTATTTTCAAATTACATTACTAGATGATAGCACAAGTTACCTTTAGGCATCTTCTAGTCAGACGTAACTTGCAGAAGCAACACTTTCAAGAGATTCGAGCTATTTTAGCTCTGTAAACATAGGTTAGTTTCCATGTTAAGTTTTACAACGAATTTGTAATCGATCGACGTGAATTAAGTATTTATATTTGAAAATAGTCATTTTAACTAAAGTAGAATTTTAAATCTTACGAATATTATAAATGCGAATGTTTGGTTTATTAGAAGGTATATTCAGAACAGCTGTATGGATCTCGCTGAATAGAACATTGTCTAGAAGAACACATAGGTTACTTATTAAGGTTTTTTAAGTTTCGCGCGGACGGAACCTCGGGCGACAGTATAGACCAGTCTTCCCCAAAATGTGCGATAACGCCCCCTTGTGGGCGCTGCAGGTCTCAAGTTGCGGGTTATAGTAAAAGTTTCGTTTAGAATTCTCCGTTAATATACATATATATGTTACAATAATTAATTAATTTAATTTGAAGTAATTTGAAGTGGTTTTTAAATATGTGAAAATATGGGGGGCGCTAAAACATATTTATTCTCAAATTGGGCAGTAGACAAAATTAGTTTGGGAACCACTGGTATAGACTAATTTAAATAAAATATTTTTAATAAATTATATTTTTTTTACAAAATATAAGGTTGATTCAACAAAGTAAACTATAAGTGATTGTTACAAGAAATAACAATTCACAATCACTAGCGATGGTTGTTGTGCCGTGTCAATTATCTCTACTTATTATAGAGAGCTCTTTTTATTACGGCCGTTGTGGGAAATCACTGGAACAATATTATCGGAAGAGTTCCCAAGTATTTCACATACGACAGTGGGACATGCACTTAACAATTATTCATCTATTGTTAAGGGCTTACATATAGATTTTTATACTTGTTAACTCATAAATTTACAGGTTTAAAGGAGCCTCCTGTTCCTACATTTCTTCAAATTGTAAATTCTGAATTTTATTTCCCGCCATTATTCTCTTCGTCGGACATTAGATAGGCCACAGAGGCCTATCAGAGTTAGTAGGCTAAACCATGCCTATACTAGGATACTATTTCATTGAAATAAAAAGTTAGTGTCTACATTTATGTATGTATATAAAAATTATTTTAGTAATAACTTTTATACTAATAGTGTTAAAATTTCAATGAAATTTCTTTTTATTGCCTAACTAAATTCAACGATGCGCTACTTTCTTTTTCGCATGTAATTCGTAACTACATAAATCTGAATTTTAAATCATTCGGTAATGCAATAAACCACAAAATGTACAGTTATTTTCTAAATGAAAGTGTTTGTTTCATATTTTAGAGTCATATAAATAAGATGGGTATATGAAATACAGTTTAAAATTATGTGATAGTTAAAAAAATTAATAACCAACATCTTACCTAGGAAATTAGTCTTGAAGTGTTGCTCGTGAATTTAAAATAATATGCGATAACATTTAGTAATAAAAATTTAAACATTGTTTAAAAATGTCACAAATGTCCACTTTAATATACAGACACTATATTACTTTATAAGCACATTTTAAATTAAAAAAAATTTTAGGTTATTTTAAATGCAATGTCGTAATGGCGCCGCGTATTTTTTCGTACTGACGTTCGGGCGGGAGAGGGTAGCGCGAGTGCGCCCGTCGTCACGCGTGTCGTAGCAATGGCGTCGGGCGCTGCGAACACCTGTTCCACAGAGCGCATATCGCACGGGGATATCCGCACTGGCATTAAATTCAATTCATCGCACGCGGCAAATTAAAAATATATCCACCTACGAATTGATGGAGATTGATGGCCCCGTCATATCAATTTATCCACCTAGCTGTATTTGCAAGGAAATTAAAAATCAGCTGTAAAAAGCTTCATGGTGCTCACGTGAGTATAATCTTCAACTGCCTTTGAATGTAGTCGTATATTTTTCCAAGCAGATTCTTTCGGAAACTCCGATGGTGTCGATCCATAATTTGTAAAAAAAATAGGTAGACTACCTACTGATTTAATAAATAAAAAATGCAATATACCCTACGATGGTCACTATTTGAAGTATAAATTAAAAATTTATATTTTTCATTTAAAAAAATATGTTATAACAAAAAATTAATAATGAAACAAAAGATAATCAGGCAAAATAAAACAATAATAGCGAAAGTTTAAAAGACATTTCATCATAAAAAAATCTTGGCAGCGGTGGGATTCGAACCCACGCCTCCGAAGAGACTGGTGCCTTAAACCAGCGCCTTAGACCGCTCGGCCACGCTACCGTGTCTAGTGAGGTTGAAATTAAGCAACAACTTCTATAGTAGACACCTCTTTGTCCTAATGTTAAAAAGCAATATTCAAAGGAGTAAAATACCGAATGTTTTTCACCAATGAATGCCAATTAGTCATTGATTTGATGAAATCCTCTACACTCTACTAGTACTCTACTAGGAAAATAGGAATGAATTGGTAATGATTTCTATGAAATGACGTAACTTTGTGTCGCGTTTGGTATTTTCCAAAGAAAGCTGTTAACGTAAGGTGTTAGTTTATGACCATGAGACGACGTGTGTGGTGACCAAGCTTACTATGACTTTGTTATTATGTATAAGCAAATAAGAAATATTGTAAAGTAATGTTAAACCATGTAATATGCAGATATTATACATATTTGAAGTTATGGTGTTGTTTAAGTAATTTATTACTTTGATCTAACTTGTACTTAACAATAGGTTTTTATTCTTTTTATTTCATAATATTCAAATATAATAGAATAATTAAAATATACGAAATAAAGAAAGATGTTTGCTATTAATATGTTTCTTTCAAACTTTTAGTTATAGCGACATCTAGTGTCAATTTTATAAGTTTTTTCTAGCAACAATTTGTTTACATATATGATTTAAGATCGTTTTATTAAATTCTTAATTATTATTTATTTTTTAAATGCGAGGATATTCTTTTTATATTATTAAATGTTGTTACAAATAAAAATGTGTGGTACAAAGTAGAGTAACTTCGATTCCAGCCGTAATACTCTGAAATACATATTTCCATCTCGCTTAAATCCTATAAGAAAAAAGAGATAACAATATGGGGACGTAATAGATTAAAAACCTGGTTATTAAATAATAAAGCTTACAAAATTAGAAACTTATTAGCCTTATAAATATAAACATCTATCCAGGAAATAACTGCAATAAATGCAGCTACCATACCGTAATTATAAATTGAAACGAACCACAACAATGTAAAAACTATGCCAATGCGTAATTAACGATAATATAAAGGAAACATCAAGCAATCTTGTTACAATCCAATCCCTTACCTACATACCATAATGTAAACGATATTTAAATTATACAAATGTTTTTAAGGTAATCATTTCCATTTATTTTACAACTAGAGATTGCCCGCGACTTAGCGCAAAAAAGGAGTCTATGACATTAGCTACTTTCTAGTCAAACTCCTATGAAAATCGATCGCTATTTCGTACCCGAAACATGCAGGGATTTGTGGAAGACAAATATTTAAAAACTGGATTTTCTTTCTAACCACAATACAATTCAGTGTTTGAAATTAAATTTCAATTTTATCAAGTAATATGTAAAAATTCATGAACAAATTATGAAGAATTGGTAAATGTAACAAAATATTTTTTTTATTTTCGTACAGGCAGTCAACGGCCCATTAGCTCAGTTGGTTAGAGCGTCGTGCTAATAACGCGAAGGTCGCGGGTTCGATCCCCTCATGGGCCACAGCATTTTTGTTATTCTTGTTGGATTTAAATTTAAATTTTATTATACGATCAGTTAAAAGGGCTTTTACCATATTCTAGCTTAGACAAGAGTGTTTCAATAGTTTGACTTCGAACTTACAAACTCCGAAACCTATGTAGAGACGGTAGGAAAAACCAAAATTGATTAATTATTTTCGTTGTGACTAGTGCATTGCTATACCCACATTCCTCCTACATGTTTTCTAGTTGGAAATGTCGAAATATTAAGGAAATGTGAGATCGATCTACCTGGCAATTCTAGTAAATGGAACATGTTACAAATATGTTACAGATTCCAAATTACTATTTTAGTAATGAAATAATAAAAATATCTTGAAATAAATGACACCGTCAACCCAATTAACATCACCACGAAAATAACTGCTCGGAATAGTTTGCCGACGTCGGCGAATTCAAAGACGTTTCCGCTGATTTGGCATCAAAATTGTTTAAAACATTGGAATTGCAAAAGTATTTTAACGTTTTATGCTACAAACAAATTCTCTTTCCATACTACTAATCATTGCTTAACACAGTTCAAAATGTGCATCTTTCTAATATTATAAATGCGAATGTTTGGATGGTTGTTAGTAGGTATCTTCAGAGAGTGCATGGATCTCATTGAAATTTGGCGTACATATAGAACAATCTGGAAGAACACATAGGCTACAAATTAAGTTATTTTTTCATCCCGCGGACAGAGTCACGGGTGACAGCTAGTAATCTATAAAATTAGATAAATGTTCTATATATATAATTATTTTTTCGCTACCAATTCGAATTATTTGGCAAATTTAAATAATTAAACTTAAAACAAAATGAAACAAACAAAAATAAATATAAAAACAATGTATTCATTAAAATCTCTTTTAAATTAACAAGTAATATACTTATACACGCACACTTATACCTAAATTAAATAGATAAGTACAAGTATTAAATATAAAGATTAAAAAAAATATAAAAAAGTTCGATAAATAGATGAGCCTCTGTGTTAATAGCCATTATGACTTGTTAGTTTTTTTTAGCCAAAAAAATTATAAAATATTATTAATTGCACAACCGGCCGCACTTCAATGTACAAAAATATAGTAATATAATTAATAATATAATTAAATAATATAAATTAATTAATATAATTAATTCTAAATTATTTACATTTTATTTACTAAAATAATAATAATATAATAATGGTCAAACTGAATGTAAATTACAGTTTTATTTGTTCTACTTTAGGTGGGGTGGAGTAGTTATTTTGATAAAAAATAGTTTACAATTCTGCTTCACGGATTTAAATTAAGAACTCTATTTATTTCTCAAAGTGTGCATTGTAGCGTATAAATCTGATTTAAACGATAATAGGAGTAAACAGAACATTAAAAAAAATATTCTAAGTTAAAAATATATGAAAAAAAGTTTATGATTATTAAACAATAAGACATGTTTTGTTACTTTGCTTAAGTTTAACGAAGAAATAATATGGTGTTAATTAATATCTTTGAGTAAATTAATTAAAAAAATATTAATAAATCATAATAAAATCTATACCATTGACAACGCATATTAGAAATTTATAAATAAATAACATAATAATAGGTTTAAACTAGTCTCTAATTAAACATGATAATAGATATTTTACAAAATAATTTGAGCTTAAATATTCCGTGTATTGAGTATTGATTATAAATATAATTTGAACTAAACTTAAATTATATTTTGGCCGATACTTTTATTTAATTACATCAACGCTTGAGCACAATAAGTATTCTTGGAAAAGACATTGTCTTAAACAAGCTGACGTACACTATAAAACACAATGGAGTCGCTTCATTGAATGACTTTCCTTTTACATACAAAAATATAATCACTTAATTTTATTTATTTTACAATCTCTTAATGTAATCTTTATAGTACAAATATAGATTAAAAATTAAACTAACATTCGACGGAATGTACATATGGCGTATCATCTAATTTAGTTATAGATGCAACAGAGGAACGGCCGTCGCGACCGGTTACTATGGATATGACACTTCTATGTTCAGAGTCGCTATCACCGCTTAGAATTATGTTCGTCTCGCCAACGAAACCAGAGTCTATTTGGTCTTGACTCGCTGCCAACATATCCCGTGTTTCGACACACAAACCTAATTCTGAATACATCTCCTTAGACTCATCAAAATTACCGAAGAAAACAGAATCAGTTTCAACGCTTTCACCTCCAGATTCACTTCGTCCGTCACATAAAGATTCCATTTCGTCCGTATCTGACTCTATTTGTATTGCCAATGTTCTAACTACGGGTGGAACTGGTTTCGGGGCTGGTTCTGGTGGTAAGAATTTCGGCCTTAACATCATATATCTGGCTCTGCATTTTGATTCGTTGGAATCCGTACTTAAGTAACCTGAATCTTCTGTTCGACATAGTTTCTTTAGATCAACTCTTCGCGAACGTGTTCTCGAAGATCGACGGCCGGACCTACGGACATTCAAATTCTCGCTTCTAATGTATTGCGTGACCCGTTCCTTCTCTTCTGATCGTTGTCTCTCACTAGGAGGGCTATATTTCTCTGATCCTCGCCGTTGTTTCGGAGGTATGGGTGGTTTAGGATCACTTTGACCTTCTGCTTTACGAAAATCTGACGGTCGTACAGATTTCATAAATTTGGCTATATCGTGGTTCGCGTAAGGTAAACTGCTCCGTCTTTCGTATAATCGCGGCTCTTGTTGTGCTTTCGCTTTAGCTTCGTAAATTTGTCTCAGGCTACCGATCTTTCTGGTAAATACAGCCTCTGGAGGGGTCTTCCTTTCTCCTTCTTTTGCAAAATCATAATTTGCATTATGTGAAACAATTTTATTTTTAAAGCTTCCACCGGATTTCAAAAGAATTTTTTCTACAGATTTCTTCATTTCTCGTCTAGGTTTTCTATCCAAAGTATCAGGATCAAAATCATCGTGGATCTTTTGTCTGATATCCACGGGTGATCCACGGACTTCTATAGTTAACGGACCTGGCGTTTCAATATTATTGTACAACGGTTCGATGGGATTCATATATAAGTCATTAACGCGACAAGTGCTTATATTGGGTACTATAGATTTAATCTGTTCACTTGGAGTAGCTTCTACAGCTTTCTTTATATCACGCCAGCTTCTTGATAATCTCTCCATGGGGAGCTCTGAAAATTTATGAATGGTCTGTTGCTTTTGTATAATTTCTGAGCCAAAGTCAAGTGAAAATCTGCGTCGTTTTAAAATATTTCTCTCCAAGCTATCAAATTCCATGGATATTTCACTTAAATGAGTGGCTTTCCGATCGTGAGTTAAGGTATTGTCATCACTATAATACTGTGAATCTGCCGAAACGACCGGTATCACTATTTTAGGTCCACTTGCTAATACGGCCAGTCGACGTAATTCCTCCAATTCACCTTCTTCCGATCGCTTGCATTTATTTAATTCCTTTATTACAGCTTCCATTTTAACTTTAACTTCTGGTAAAACCGGTTCCTTTTTGTCGGGTGTGACAGGTTCTTGAGGATTTACTGGAGGCGGCGGTGGAGGTGGTAATTTCTTTCTGACAACTCGTCTTGTAGCGTTACTTGAGGGACTTCTCTTTTCCTGTGGTTTCTTGTTCGAGGGAGGTGATGTCAACTTCTTCTCATTTCGATTATTGTCTTGATTAGAAATAATTGTTTTAGGTTTATCTAAGTCTCGTTTGACATCAATAGTTTCTTTAACACGTAGGTTACTTAATTTTTCTCTTGAGCCCGATTCGATTGGCTTCCTGACTTCTTGTTTATTTGCATGTGATTCGTCGCGTCTTATTGGTATCACTGGACTGACGCGGACGTCATCTTTCTTTTTAGTATCGACAATTCTTGGTGTTCCACTGACTTTAGCTATTGATTTTGTGGGTCTAATTGTCTGTGGCGGTGATGGAACTTCGTCTAGCCACTTTTGTACTATTCTTTGCTTATAGTCGTCGCTGACACAAGTTTTACATGAGTTGGATCGGATTAATCCGGGTGCTTTTTGAGATTTACTATCGCTGCTGTCACATCCAGGACAACCACCGCAATGTACGGCTCTTCTACTATTTTCTCTCTTTAGACTTATTGCACTAAATCGTCTCCCTCGTCGAGCGCAAGGTATGTTCCAGCCTAGGTCTAAGGTGTGATATAAATCTTCTTCAGGTATGTCAGATAGCATGGGAATAAATCTCTTTGACAACATCTTCTCTTTGGCAATCGCCATGATTTCACGAATTTTTATCAGAAAATCTATGGCTGCCGGTGGTGGATTCTATAACAAAAATATAATAAAAATTTTATTAATATAAAAATCAGTTAAATACCAACAAGATGGTTTTAAAAATACTTTACCTTAAGATGTTCAACTTCGAAAAACACCGGATTGAAGTAAAGTTTTCTTCTTATAACTGGCTCAACGTTTGTAGGTGGGTTGAGACTCGTCATGGAATTTGTTTCTACACTACAGTCGATGATTGACAAGTCGGATTGGGGAGCTTTTTCTATTTCAGGTGACGCTGAACGCCTTTGTAAGCGTTCTGTTAGTCTTTCCGGTGTAGACGTACGTAATGATGGACGAGACGGTTTTTTCCGATGCGTGTGTATCATTGCTGAGACAATGTTTGGATTCTGGAACTGCTAAAAATTATTTATGTTATATATTTATTTTCTGCACAACAATACAGACGAGTGACTCCTACATCTCGTTTGTTATATTGTATACTTACTTTCTGAAAATTAGTTGAAGAATCCAAAGTATCCTCGGTACGTTCACTAACGTCAGACAAGCCGGCATCATTTAAAAAATCGTTCATGTTGTCTAAATTCAATAATGGATTCTTTTTCAATCTCTGTTGATAAAATTATTTATTAAGCAAATGTCAAACGGGAAATAAATTTTGATATGGAAGAAATCTGTATTTATTCTTACCACATTATCCATGTCGATAGTGGAAATATTTTCTGTGGAGGCAGTTCTGGATCTATTCAACTCTGGATCTATTGCCTTGCGCTTTTGCTTTTGCTTGTAATGTATATAGAAAATGATACCAGCTGCGTAGATGAAGATAACCATAAGAACACATACTCCAATCGCTAAGTATTCCAGCACGCTCAGACCTTTACTTTGGCTCACTTGTTCGGTGTTGACAATTTCACCAGCGTGGAAAGGTATCGAGCGAACGTCTGAAAGTGATACAACATTATAATAAAAGAACAAAAGCAGAAGTAGATAGAGTCTAGCAAGATAACCATTTCAAAGTAGTAAACACAATGACAGAAGTATGTTTAGCGCTACATTTCAATTTTAAACACATAGAGGAAAGCTATAATTAATCACCAGACAAAGTATGACGTCACTAACCTAGGATGGTGTTGTGTGTGGCACCAGCAACCCTAAAGGAGGCGCAGGAGGCAGCAAGGCGCGCTGGTGCGGGTGCAGAGCAAAGCACATGTACCGTCACCAACCGACCCTCCAGACGTCCATGTAGAGCCGAAGATCCCCGCCACTGATCCAATTTCAAATGTTTACATCAGTATAGAAAAGGGGAAACTGGCCAAAATGGTTGATGAGAAATTTACGATGGCTAAGCAGAAAAATACTGCTTATGAAACTACAAATAAATTCGTTCGGTATCCTTTTTCTGAGTCTACTATTTGTCAATAGTATCTAACAATTGTAGAGTGTAAGAGTTTCGTAGAGTTTATGAATGGCGTCATTATATAGTCGATTAATCACGACTGGAGATATGTGGACGAATTAAACAGATTGTGACTTTTACGCCTCCGAGTTTATCTGGCGGTTAATCTGTACCGCGTCGGATTTCAACAGTCCGGCGGCCGTTTGACTTGACTTGTGGCATTTTTCACACATCACGATTATCTTGAATTTAATCTCACTCGTTTTTTTGATAACAAGGATTAAGATAATTCAATTGCTTGTTTATAGATAACAATAATTAAGATAGGATAGAACTCGCAAATTAATCGAAGACGTACAAAATACATCAAAAACCACACAGAAGACAGGCGTGAAGTGGAAGCAATTCCACGTTTCGTCTCATGAGTGTGCGTCCCGGAGACCTAATTTAGTCCTCTTTCCCTTCCCACCCTTTTTCTTATAAGGAAAGGATGGGAAGTGGAAATAGACTTTCCGGATGAGAGGATGCATGGAAAGGGAAAATATTTTATTTCTGTGCATCCTCTCCTCCGTTGATTAAAGGTAGGGAAGTCATATGTAATTGCGTATGTCTATGGGCAACGGTCACTTCGCTATTTGAGCGATTTCAGGTAGCCGCTCGCTCGTTTGCCACCTTAAGATATAAAAAAAAAACTATTAAGCATTTAAAAGTAAAGAAATGTTAAAACAATTCAATATTTAAAATAATATAATATATTCAAAAAACATGAAACAATTAAATATATATCAGTCTTACTGTGGGTTTCTAAGACCAAAATCTCTGTATAAAACATATCGTCATCCCTGTCATTATCTTTGACAAAACAGAGATAACAATATGTTTTAATCGGAGATTACGGTTTCAGAAACCCACGGTTAATCTGTTTATTTCGAACAATCGCATTTTAATACATTAAGTAAGCTTCGAATGAAGACAAATAAAAAGTAATAGAATTTCATATATTAGCATACTGTAAGTTGATTATCTGAATAAAAGTGGATCGAATAACCTGATTTTTAAATAAAACAAGTTCATTCACGGGTGGCACGATCCTTCCAAAATCTTTATGCTTTTCGTCTGTTTTAAATATTATATCAGAGCGTTATGACACTTGTCTTAAACAAATTATCGGCTCCTGTGTAAATAAGAATATCTTAAAATTTTACAATTTGCAAGAATTATACATTTAAAAAAATATCTTAATATTTATCTATTTTAACATTATTATTTATATTATAAATGTTTATATGTATGGATACATGTTTGCTAGAAAGTATCTCCAGTTACATAGATCTCGCTGAAATTTGGCATAGACGTAGAACATAACTTGGAAGAACACAGCGTACGAATTAAGATTTTTTAATTATACGCGGACGGACCTGCGGCCGACAGCTAGTTTTAAATAAGAATTGAAGATTTCAGATGTCTATAATTTAACAGTGTAATGTATTATTTAATTTTTAGAACAATCGAACAATTTGTTTTCACGATTTAAAAACTTATAAAGCAACGTTAGTAAAATGCATTACCATGTTATTGTGGTGGTGTAGTATTTAGAAACAGCATGTGATTTTTTTTAATAAAATCACTCTGTACTCTGCACTTACACTTCTCCGTTGGATGCAAGAAAAAGTGCTTTGCGTAAAAATCAGAGTACATAATAACATGGTTAGTTGTGTCAGTTCTGAGTAGAAAAGCAATTTCTTTACGTGTGATTACATCAAGCTGTGCCCAGTGACGGATCTTTGTCTAGTGGTACTAGAATTTCAGGAATAACCAGTAACCGCTCTAGGAAACTAAAAAGATGGCACATAGATACAGAAATGTTTGTTCCACTTCTAACGCCATTACGCCGACATACCTTTTTGTTTAAAAAAACTTAGGCTTAAGTTGTATAGCTAAGAAAAATAACTTAGAAGTCGTAGTGACTTTAAAGTTCTTACGAGTCATGTTGTTTATAAACGATTTTTTTCCTTGACATAATATATTGAAGTATTTTGTGTCTATTAAAATGGGCTGAATAATAGGAATGTTGCAATAAAATATCAAGTTAAATTCAAGTTAACTAAGCTATAGCCAAGATTATGTTTAGTAAGCTTTTACATTTTATTTGCTGTTTATTGAGTCAAGTTTTTTACGACATCCATTAAATTTATAATCGCTTTGTATTATTTGAAAAATAAATAACATATCTGGACCGTTTTAAAATACGGAAATGATTTTTTGAAGTCTTTATTTTCATTATTTATTATTTAAATATTTCAGTTGGTAATGATTTGACATTTTTAATTTAATTTTTATATCTTCTTTGGCATGCTTTAGTATTTTTCAGTGTTCTGTTAATTTATTACTTTTTTCGTGCAAATTTATAATCGATATATTTATACTTAACACTTAATAAACATAACATGTTTAAAATGCCACGATAATTTATTGTTCGGAAGAATTCATATTACATTCATACAATAAAAGCGTATTTATTTATTTATATTTCAATGGTTATCGCACGCAAATCTCTTTATTTAATCAAAAAATTGTAGTCTATGTATTCTTCCTGACTATGTTTTACATCTATGCCAATTATAATAGAGATCCTGTCAAATGTTATGTCAATTTAGTTTATAATATAATGGCAATAGATGGCGGAACATATTACTAGATCACGGTATTGATTTATTTGGTATATTTATCGACTTGCCGATCGCATTTCATTAAAGTTGAGTCGCACCAAGATATAACCAGTGTTTTATTGTGACTACTAGATACATCTCCAGTGAGAGGGAGACTTTTTGAGACTGCTTTACAGATCCGTTGACTCGTTATGCAGATACCTAGTAACAAACATGTCTCCATCCATCAGTCAAAACATTTGCATTTATAACATTAGTAAGATATAGTAATATTTTTAACAAAAATTTAATGTAATAATTCCGTATTCATCCTCAGCTCAAATAAATTTATAAGGCAAATCGTATTTGGATTTGGCATAGTTGCTCGCAGATGTAAATGCTGTTCCACTAGATGTGTCTTATTGAACTGTCCACATCAATCTATTAGATTGATGGCTGACAACAAACGTCTTTGTCATGCAATGAAAGTTACCGTATTTAATAAGCGGTTTCGAATTCACCATTTAAGGATGCATTTCAACATTGCCGTTTGGATTGACGTGGCTTACAAAATTACTCTTGAACGTAAATTTAACAAAACCATTCCATAGCTGAATAACTACACAGGCTGTTTAAAAAGTTTTATTATCTTGTCATAGTGTAGTCCATGATAACACTTATGGTCTATTACTTGCCACTTTCTACAAAGTCTTTAAAATTACACGAATGATAATTAAGCGGAATAATTATATATTGTTTACACACCAAAGTATACATTTGTTTTTACTACGTATAATAGTTTGTATGTACATTTTTTACGGTGTCCTTTCCAGTGCTTATATATCCGTGGAAACATCAAATGGAAGCGGCCCTCACCGATAATAATCTCTTTAACGTCCCGTATTAACTTGTATATTATTACAATTTAATTATTACTACTTACTATTCTCTGGACCAATGGTCAATAAATATGTGAAAATAATTATCGAATTTCGATAAACATTGAATGCTGATAACCAAATTATCGGGAAATTATAAAAATCTTCTTGGGTGGCTGTTGCAATCGATAAGTTGGAACAAATGGTCGACGGTATTCTTATTGTGGCCGTAATAAAAATATTTAATTTAAATATACTCGTTTTAAAATAAAACGCAAAAACTTAAAGGAACTTATTTAACTACTTATTTCAAAATGACTGTGCGTTCCGGAGAACTAATTTTAGTCCCTTTCCTTCCCATGCTTATGTTATAAAAATGGGTTGTTGACAGAGGACCGGACGCTTAGCAAGCATCCTTTTTCTGAGCGTCTCCTCCTCCTCCGTCGATTAAAGATCAACGAGCAGCGGTCACTTCGCTATTTCGGCGTATTCAGCTGGCAGTTTGCTCGTTTGCCGTTATGATATTAAAAAATAAACTATTAATATTGTGAGCTGACCTGTAGGTACGTGCTGCCTTCGTCCCTATATAAAGCGAAGGGTACATCATTGTCCACGAGATCTCTAAGGGCGAGCCAGCCCGACGGCGAAAGGTACTGAGCGCTGGTCACTGCACACACAGCGTCCTCCACATCTGAAATACCAATATAAATGTACTTTGTCTCTGATTTTTTTTTAATATTGCTATCACTCTCATCTCCTATGGAGGAAAAGAGATAGAAAATTTTACGTATTACGGCCATTGGAATGTAGCTATAAATAAATTTATTATAATTTATTGTAATTTAATGAAATAGATTCTAAATTTTAAAATGAACTAGCTTTTTAATAACAATATTACATTACATATTTAAACAATAACGACAACCGTACAATGATTACTTGACGAAGTCGGTAATGTTTTACAGCTTACAGCCGGCTGTACTGGATAAGTTCATGTATAGCGGCATTTACTTTAATAAAAGACATATTTAGATCAGCAGACATGATCCGGTATGGTCTAGTGGCTAGGATACCTGGCTCTCACCCAGGAGGCTCGGGTTCGATTCCCGGTACCGGAAGATAATACTTTTTTAAAATTTAGTAACAAAAATCTAAAATTTAATCAACTTTTCATTTTGTAGTTAAATATTTTTAAAATATCTTAATTTTTACCTGTGAATACAATTTCCTTTGCTGGATATACAATTTGACCTTTGAGTGGAAGAAAGACAAAAGGAATTTGAGGTTTGGTCGCTCCTCGTCCATAACTCGCCATTCGGCACTCTGAAAATAAATTAAGTTTGAATAATTACGAATTCTTTGTGCTGAGACTTTATCGAAACACTTCTTAAAACACATAACCATCCCACTCACACCCTTTAAAAGAATAGAGATAACAATACTCTTTTCTACACGTTTCTTCAGTGGAAATGCACATTGTCATATCAAGCTTAGTGTAACTTAAAATAAATATCGTCTTGTCAGTCAAAGTTTTTCAATTCATGCTCCCTCTGTATAGCATTGTTCGAATCAAATGAACTATCATAGTTATTAGGCTAATGGAGAGCAATACAATGGCTGGTATAACAAAAGCTTATAATAGTAGATATATTATTTAACATGTAGCGTACTACACAAAGGTCGAGGGAGCGTTACATTAGAGGTTACGCTTCATAATTTAATGCGGGGAATTAAAATGCCGTTTTAAATTACATATGGAAATCTTACTAATTATAAATGCGAATGTTTGTACGGTTTGATGGATGTTTGTTTGAAGGTATCTCCAGAACAGCTGAACGGATCTCGATGAAATTTGCTAAAGATATAGAACTTAGTCTGGCAGAACACATAGGCTACTAATTATGTTTTTTTGTATTCCACGCGGACGGAGTCGCGGGTGACAGCTAGTTCTTTATAAGTACAGATTTGTATTCAATAGTTGAACGAAATAATTGTTTAATTATTCATGTTTTTATTTTAATTTGAATATTATTACTAACGTTAATTTTTTCCCTGCTTTGAAGTATTATATTAACCCACGAAGGCAATTTGAATACTTTATTATTTTTCATGCTCTACCTAAATAAAACTAAATACAAAACTGTGTCACTTACCTTTGGTTTCTGAGACCAATCTCAGTAAAAAACATATATAAGATAATATGTTTTAAACGTGGATTTTGGTCTAAGAAACTCAAGTTTAAACTTAACTAAGTATATAACGTGGTTGACTATGGCCTGATCACCCTTAACTTTGGGTAGGCTCCAAGCCCCTCGGTGGGGACGTATAGTGAGCTGATGATGATGATGTATATAACATAGTCTTACCGTCAATATGATTGACGCAGATCTTTTGGTCTTCTCGGAAGGCAGGTGTGTCGCGTGCACATTGGCAGGAGCAGCCTGAGACGCCCATGGCGGCCAGTGCTGTACCGTGGGACACCTCCATACACCTCGTTAGCCCACATTCTGGACCTTTAAAATATAAAACAGAAAATAATCTGAATAAAAATGGCCCATGTAAAGTGTTCTATCGCCAAATTGGAGAGAATCTATTTTTTTCTATCTACCCCTGTGAAATTGAAATTGATTGGATGGTTAACAATTTTATTCCTTAACCTTTAACGTGCCCGAGTCGGATAACTTTTGCTCCCAACTGAAGAGTTTGCGGCTCTTCATTACGCTGCTGTTTATATAAAATCTACCTACCTATCTATTAAAAAAAGCAAATAGAAATTGTAAATAACTATTTCAAACTTACCAACGAGTGAAAACAAATCGCCAGAAGCAAATCTTGTCACGTTCGCTAGCGCCATCTCTTCTCGATGATTTGAAAAACATGGTCGTATCATTGCCATAAAAATTAATATAAGCGCCATCTTTCGTTTAAATTGATTAACCATGGTTAAAACCTTTATTGTCATTTTGATTCAAGTCTCAAGATGTTGCTGTTTAGAATTGTTTTTGCAAAACAATCTAAATTTTTTGGAGACATTTTTGACTTTCGTTAACGAAGATTTTCTTCTATTAAAATTAATCCTGGAACAAAGGAAAAGTTCAGTTAGAAATTTTGTCACAAATCTATGAAATTACGTTACTATTTATTATTAATTAAGAATAATTTAATCTCATAATTATTTATTACAACAATGCAACGAAAAACCCTAAATTTAAAAAAAAAATCCGATAAAAAAATACAAACACTGACAACCCACAATTTTACGACTGCTATAAAAAAATGTTATGAAAGTCCCCACTATGTTCCGCGTTATTCTTGAACAAAAACATTATTTTGACGGATCACTTTTTGCTTTTTCTCGTTTATGACGATAGATTTTTCAGTAGGTTATTGTGTATTGTTTGGAAGAAAATCCGAAAAAGAGCCAGTGTATTGACTCAACACTAGCATTACTAAAATGTCGACATTTATGTCCCCTCACTAATCATTCTGACACTGGACTTGGTAACGAAAGCGCGCCATTCGCGCCAAAGGATTCTAACGAATAACGTCCAAAAAAAAAAATCGCCAGCAAAACAAAATGTGCAAAAGTTTTCAATATGGTGTTAGTAGGTTGTATACATTTATTAACAGTAACTCGATGTTATATTTGACGGCAGAAGACTTTTGTTAAATAATGCAAATGGCCGGTCGTATAATAAAATTGAATTGGCTACCACAAATCTATCTTGTCTGCAAACGCGATATTTTATTTATCAACGACGTATCAAATATCAAAGCGAGTATCGAAAATATTATTTTAATATTTATTACATTTTAATACGATACGTGCCATTATTTATGGTTCTTATTTTAAAATGAAATAAAAAAATATAACAGGATTTTTGTTAACAACGATATTACAATAAATTTTTCATAGTTTAAAAAAGGTTTTACTCAAAAAATAAGTTTAACCGATCAAACTTACTGGCCACACCATAGTGCCAGATTGTTTACACTTTTATGAAAAAAGAAAATGAAAAGACAAACGACTGAATAGACATTTTAATTTTAAATATTCGCGACATTTGTTTCGTCAACCTTCAATTGTTTTTATTCTTTTTTCAAAGTGTGAATATCAGCAAAAATCTGTGTTAATTTTAAATGTGTTAAGTTTTAACGCGGCAAGATTCTAGTATTCTGTAATTCTATGCTATTTTCAAACTTTCTGTTACTTGTTTTCAACCTGGTAAGTAGTAATCATTTATATTCAACGGGAAACATTTTTATGTTGTGTCATATGTAAAATCGGATTATTTCCTAACGAATTTCAAAAGTAGCCTTACTTTATGAATACCTACATTATGTTTCATGTCAAGTTTTAACTAAATATTGCGACACACATCTTCTAGCTAGCTAATATAAAAAAAATAAGATTAACTGAATGTTTTGTATAGTAGCAGTTGATTTTAGTTGACATAAGTGTCAAAGATAATAATGAATTTCTAACATTTATTAACAACAAAGTATCAAAGGGTAATAGACATTTATCACAAAGATGTGAGAAAACAATAAAACGGTCAAAGTATAGTAGCGCCGAACATATGACCTCTGTTTAGAGGTGTCATGACATAACTTCTTTATCGGCAGTGGTAACGATAGATGATAGGTCATTAAAGTGTTTAATGTCCAACTAACATGTTACTATTATGAATCCGTGAATTATTATAAATACATTGTTGTATTTATAATTTTCAAAGAGACGCGACTATATGTAATTTGATATTTAAATAAACTTTTTCTAATTTCATCTGTTAGCGAAACTTTTTAGTTTATGGAGACAATTTAGTGTCAGGGCAGGTGTGACTTCAAAGGATACAAGACAGGGTTACGTGAGATTTCTCCGTACTAAGCCCCCGGTTGCCTTCTTCAAGTGTAACCGCGAGGGTTCCGGGATCTCCAGTGGAACGGAACCCTTTGCATTGAACTTCTGTACGACCCCAGGAAAACACTTCTTCATTTCTCAAACAAAAATGAGGAAATATTTTCCTAAGTGTAGCAGTTTTAATTAACCTACAATAGATAAAACAATACATTAGTTAGGAAGTTTCATCGAAAGATAAAAAAAGTTACAAATTATCTAGTAAGTAAAAAAGATATTTGTAGGTTACGAAGTAAAGTCTTCATAGCTACTTGTGATTTATAAAAATCTTATCTTTGCGCGTAATTAAATGTGCGAGATACTAAATTAACTTCTGTAATGACTTATGAGTGGGTTAGTCAGTTTTGTTTTTAATATCAACGCGGTCAAAGGCCACGCGACGTGACAGATGAATATATCTAGAAACCGTTACAAATATATATTTTTAACATGCATAGAAAAAAAGAAACGCGATCCGAAAATATTCGTTATTTAACTGTAGAGTACCGGTTTGTTAAGATTAGAAAACATGTAAATAACTCGAGTTTTGATACAGCGTCTTCGTATACTGCCATCTGATATTAATGTATTTATAATAAAATCTGGCACTATCATAAATGTCCAATTTTATGCCTCTATTTTTTTTAACATGAGGAATGTCGCTGATAGAGGAAATTCATTTTAAAAGTGACAAATATTATGTTTTACAAACTGAATAAATCATGATAATTTTATTATAAAAGGTCCTGTATATCTATATAAATCTTTTAGCCCATTGCCTGTCATGATAGCCGACCTGTTAATAATTTGCATAACGCCGATCTTGTGACATAAACGACCCACGAAGTGACTAAATGGCAAAACGCTTCTAGTTTTGACGTAAATCAATAAATTATACTATTTGCGATTCAACGATAACATTACTAATTTTTGTTTTTACATTTTTTTTTTTAAATTTATTATACAAAAACTTACATATATTATAAATTTTAATTTTTCGAAAGTTTACATAGTTTTAAAAAATGCAAAATCGCTAAACGAATTTTACATTTATTATGTAAAATAATTCAAAGTTAATTTCAAATAACATCGATAGTCCATTGCTGAATACTCTTACTATAATCCGGTCTTACGCAACGAATCGTTTTGTACCTGATTGGAGCCCTCAGTATCCTTGCAAAGAAAACAACGTATGTATTATAATACATATAGCGAAAGCTGTATACAGCTTTCAAATATAGCTTTCGTTGTCATCTTTCGTTGTGTTACTTTTAAAATATACCAAATTAATATTTTCAGAACATTCGATTAAAATGTATTGTCGACTGACCAAATATTTTAGCAAAAATTTAATGCCACACCTTTGCCTGATGAAAAAAATATTTTGAATTAAATTAATTAAATTGCTACACAGGTGAAAGAAACGTTTATTTATATTATACGATGAATAGAATCATAATCAAAGTAATTATTAATTTTAGAAATTGGTAGCCATTTCGAAGGAATTAGAAATTTGATATATAGTGAAGATATGTTAAATAGTAAATTGGAAAAATTAATGAAGTTGTATAATATCTTAAAAATTAAATTATCAATCGTAATCAATGAAAATTTATAAGTTTAATCATTATTTGGTTATCACGTGAATATGGATGGGTAGCGTTTTTAATTTTAAATCAGTAAAGCTGTTTATATCATTAGTTTTACGATAGAAAATTAATCCAGACGGATTGTATTGCTTTTACATTAATTTATCTTTTAACATGTAGTTTGGAATAAGGTCAGTAATATTAAGGATATCCTAGTTAACCTATCTGCCACATCTATCTTACTAATATAAATTGCGAATGTTTAGATGGATGGATAGGTGGATGTTTATTTGAAGATATCTCCAGAACGGCTGAACGGGTCTCGATTATATTTGGCATAGACATAGAGCATAGTCTAGAAGAAAACATAGGCTACTTAATAAGTTTAATTCCGCGCGGAGTAATATAAAAGGAAAGATTTTATTATTTGTTTACTTGCATTGAAAAGGGTTTGAAACTACTATAAGCTACACAATGCCTAGATGACATAGGCTATATTCATTATGAAATTTTCGTTTTCGCAAAGTATAAGGCAATTGTATAAGTATCAGTAACCAATTTTTGCTTAAACGTATTTATCATAGTAGCAAAAGACGCTAAAAGTATGCCAAGATCATGCCAAATGCAATGTAACTTTTTCCTTACTTAATTAGAAAGTAAAATAAAACCGTAAGGCTATAAATAATAAGGTATATCCATAGCATTCCTAGACCGGTCTAGGGCTGTTATTGAGCTCCCGTAAGCGGACTTACTCCTTCATTACCAGCCCCTCATTATACCGCGTTCGATTACGTCACTTTAATGATTGATTACATTATCAACAACCCTGGCTTTCGCTTCCGTATCTAATTTTATCTGTTGTTAATACAGTTTTGAGATTGTGGATTATCAAAATACTAGCTATCGCCCGCCGTCCGTCCGCGCGGTATTAAAAAGAAGACATAATTAGTAGTCTATGTGTTCTTCCAGACTATGCTCTATATGTATGCTATTTTCATCGATATCTGTCCAGCTATTTTGGAGATACCTTCAAACAAACATCCATCCATCCATCTAAACATTCGCATTTATAACATTAGTAAGAAGTAAGATGTAAATATCAATCAACGTACATAATCGTTTCATTTTTTGTATCGAGTTATGAACGAGAAAGTAAGATCTTGAAATTCCGTTATTTATTTTAATATTGACAGTAATTTAAGTCTATAACTAAACGGTTCTGTTGAAGATAAAAACACAGTCTTGTATTTACGATGTTTATTGATACAATATTTGATCCCTATGTTAAGCTCATTTTCATTAATTTGAAGACTCTATCTATATTATGAAGAGGTAAGATTTGTGTGTTGGTTTGCATTGACCGAAACTGGTTTGCAAAATTCACTTTTGCAAGCTACATTATCTACGGGTGCTATAGGCTTAATATTAATTCGAACAAAGTCGCGGTCAACAGCTAGTAAGTTAACAAGAAAATTTGACAACTTTTTCTATGATACATTGCTGTATTTTTTTTCAAGTTTTTGGATAGTTTAATAACAATAACTACGAAATTATCTTTAAATATAACAAAAAGAAAACGTTATGGGTGGTA